TTTTAATCGGAAAAACGTGAGCCTTTTTCAATTTCCAGACAAATATTTTATCTAAATTATACATCAAAGTCTGCGTGCGTGCAAGAGCGGCGCTGCAGAGTGGAAATGTCATTCCATATTTATCGATCACCTTTTAACAGGTATAGGCACAAGATATCTTACACAAGTTCAATATCGATCGTTCGTGTATTATTCCATCTGTTAACGATGGCTATAAACTAGTGATTGTATACAATCGGACATAGACAAGCGAACCCGTGCTAGTATAAGAGTCCTTCCGAATTTATTAGAAAGGAAGATTCCTGTTCCCCCGAGGAGAAAAACTATTTTTATATTTTAATTTTTATGCTGCACTGTAGATTTTAAAGCGGCTCGATTTGGAGCGACCAAATGAGCAACGAACGAAAATACATGCGTTAGCGTAGTCATCCGAGTGTTTGTGCACGAGCTACGACTCACAGGGCGAATGGTAAATGCATAAAAAAAGAAATGAATCATATTTAATCAGTGACAAAGAAAAAACTATTAGGTAACGTAATTCCAAGAGAGAGAGAGAGAGAGAGAGAGACAGACAGACAGACAGACAGAAAATCAGGTCATTTCATTTTGTGCGGCATTTTTTCAATTAACGTTTTAATAAACGCGTAAAAATAACTTCACAATCAATGGAGCTAAAAAAAAAGAAAAGAGAATTGCTACCATTGCCACATGCGCGTACGATACAACCGGTAACGATTTTTATACGTACATTGCACGCGTCAAAATCGATCATCGCATGAACTTTTGTCAAACGCGTAGCAATTGAAATGTACTTTACAATCAATTTGCGTTTTTTTTATTTTTTATGAAATAGCTTATACCTGATCGATTCTACTTTTTGGTCGACCAAGTGTTTAGTACCTATCGTTCGTTTAAACTTTTATAAACGCGTAAATTTTTTGTACATGGCTCATTGTCATTTTGCACTTGAAAACGTACACAGCAGAGAATTCGCAGGTTCACGGGTAGTGTGCCTCGGCATACGCGCCACCGTTGCTCATGAAATGTGCTTCGTTTCGTGCGTAAAACAAGTAGAAACAACAAAGGAAGAAATGACATCCAATCGTCTCCCGTGCGTAAGCTGGCCTTCCTTTTATTTTTTCATTCCTCCCCCGCGTTAAAACAGATCTGAATTATTCATTGATTTCGTCGGTAGATTTTTTACTCGCATCTAGTTAACGCCTGCGATCTCGCTCCTATGAGTTTTTAATATAAATATACACGCGAAAGGAGAAGAAGAAAAAAAGTAGTAGAGAAGAAATGGCACATTTGCAGCGATGGATTTTCGCTGCTACTGCGTCATGACTGAATAATTTTCCGAGCCGCGCGGAGCAGCGTACTGCATAGGAAAAATTCTCAAACGACGCTATCCACTCCGAAAAATTGCGCAGGCAGAGTCCGTTTGCGAACGCGTGAATTCGTGATTTTTATTGAGATACAGAGCTTCAACTACTTGCGCAGCTATCGTGCTCCGGGGAGAAGTTGCCGATATCGCTGCCAAGCATAAGAATCAAGAAGAAATCCGATATATACGAACGACGAGTCAAATGGGGCTAACGTCAATGAAGAGGTACTTTTCATAATTAGCGTCTTTTAAGCAACTTATTTCAACTTTTAATATGCAACCTCTACAAGAGGGTAAATTCTGCTTCAGTTTGCTGTGGTATATATAATGTGTTGTTAGAATCTCTGCGGCAAAGACAAAGAAAAAAAAACGGAATCTTCCGCTGTACAGTGCGGGTATCTTCTTTATTTTTTTAACTTTTTTTTTCTGGTCCGCGACATAATTAAAATACAGTTTCTTATAACATCCTTTGGCATTAAAATGTGGGGCAAAAGTTTCGCAACAAACAGCGACGCAACGTCTCGTGGTTACGGTATACCAGTATATAAAAACGTCGACTATGCGGCACATGCGCTCTATAATTTTGGACATTCTAATTTTCTCGAGTGATTGATTTTACCCGCGGGAAATACAGTAGTAGAATCGTAGTAGCAGCAGCCAATTGACAATATACATGTATATACACACGTGTACGGCACTTGTGTGTGTGTGTGTATGTATGTTTGCGTATACATGGCACACGGCGAGGCGGCTCATTGCACTCAGAGTCGTTTTCTATATACGCTTAGATTGGTTTGGACGTAAGCCAAATCTGTCGAGGCTTATTATGTAAAAATCGACCATACATACATATACTCGTGTAGGACGAGGGGCTGTGTGCACGGCTCGAGATAGCCAAGCTGATATAATGCCAAAACGTAAATGCGCAAAATGCCATTGATTTACTCGTGCGATCAAATCCGCTAAATTAGCGAAGATAATAATAGACTCTGATCGAACTATCGAGCAATTTTCTCGCGCTTTTCTCTCGCTCTTTCTCTTTTCGCTTTACTCGGGCAGGAAAATATAAATGACGCAATGTACGCGCCGACGGCTGCTGCTGCTGCTGGAGTTGATGAAAGGATTATAAGTATACGCACGCGTGTGCGTACGTATGTGTGTATGCGGTGTATACACGTTTCGCCAAGTGTTGCTGTTGCTCGTACTGCTAGGCGCAGTGACCTACTTTCGGATGCACTTATCCGCGTGTTCATGCATTCGTACACACGAATACACACACACACGCGGGAGTACGTGTACACGCACACCCGTACGCAATAATAATTTATGCACGAGCGAGAGATTTTTTGACAATTTTACCAATCGTATTACCCTTCTCCTTCGTTTTTCCCAATCGATCGCTTCGTACGTGGACGCGGGGAAATGCATGATTGAGTGATTCATAAATGCAGCAAACGGCAACACGTGGTGCACACCGAGTATAGACTCGCCATAGTACAGTCACAAACGCGTCATTCAACTCTGCGCAGTTGGCCCTTTTTCGTCTCTTTATGCGTCGCGATGAGAACTGCTTCTCCGCGATGCACACTTTTGTTGGATCTGTCGCGATTTTGTTTGCATCTGTAATTGCATTCGTACGTGTACGCAACTGCAAAGTCTGTGCGCGTGTGTGTGTGTGTGTGTGCGAATCCAATTGCATCCAAAGTATTAACGAATTGGCTGGTTGCTGCAACTTCCACGCGTACATGTAGGGCTCGCGCTGGCTTACTGCGTGCATTGGCTTAGCTGCGAAGGGAGAGGCTGTTGCAGCTGCAGGCTCGAGCCTCTACTTGACTTTTAATTAATTCGTTAATTTTATCCCGAGCGTTTTCAAATTAAAAAAGTGACTGTCAAGGCTATGAATTACTGCGGCGCGCGCCCCCAGCGTTATCGCGCCGCCACACTTCGTGGTTACAATGGGCTTGACACCGTGGATACATTTTTCACAATAGTTCAGCTCATACAAAAAACAGATAAAAAGACGTCAACATCGCAAAGTAATTCGTACATATTTGACTACTGATACGTCTGCAGAAAAAGCTGCAGACGAGCATCGTATCGTGATAAGACGGGCATGGGTCACGCGAATCTGCGATACATAAAACAATACTTTCATTGATTATCAGCTAGTGAGCACAGTTCTTTGCGTTAAAAAGACGAGGAACATTTGAGGAAGACCATTCCTATGTTTTTAAACGTCAATGAATGTGCATACCAAATATTATGAGTAGAAAGAATGAAAACTGTGATTTAAATTATCAGCCGGAAGCGAACAAAGAGAGACGAGACAACATCTCCGACGAACAAGAAGATAGGTGACAATCCACAACGAAGATAAAGTCAAATATCATCAAAATAAATTAAGAAAAGTGTATTCTAAAATGTCCTCACCTCTTGTCCTGATAAGAATAATTATAATTGAATGAATGTGTGATGATTTATTTGACTAATGAACTTTTACGATCCGTGTGCCCCACTTCGAATCAATTGCTATCTTTCATCTTAATTATAGCTTTTCCTTTTGTATTATTTTATTCTCTGAAACCTTTCCTTGATTGAAATGCAAACTTTCTGTTACGTCACTCGTTTTATTTTGCAACGCCAAAAGATATAAATGCAGCGAAGTAAGGGCTCTACCTATGCTAATCAGTATGCTATTGTCACGATTTCCGCTCATTTCAACGCAGAGACGACCCTTACTTCGCTATATTAACGTTTTTCGGATCAAGCACCAAGCGAGCGTAGTAGCGAGTGTCAATATTTGGTCAGACTGAAAGTATCGACTGCGATGCATGATGCAAGCAACGTTGACCGGCGACGATTTAATGTAATTCAAACGTTATCGCATTATTGAATTTGTCGAAAATCCATTACAGGAATACATTAACTTGGAATAAGTCTCGAAAATGTTGGAATACATAATAAAGCGCATACATATACCTGCGAAGCTCGAGTTGGATTTGACCCGAGGTTTTTTTGTGTAGCAAACTCGTTTCGATCGATCTTTCTTTACTTTGCTAACTTCGTGTCGACGTGTGCAGAACTACACGCTGTGATTTGCGAAGGAGCGATAGTCAATTGGCACTTGAGATAAATTGAAAACAAAACATGGCTGCAGTCGGGTGTTTGCGATGTGTACTTTGAATTACGAAGCGTCGCTCGATCACTTTTTAGCGGACACTCGACGAAACTTTTTTTATCGATAAAATTAACAAATTTTCAGTCGATGTATAGAACAACATGGTTGATTGGGCGCTCGAGCGCAGTGCACTACAACGCGAGACTCGAGAATTTCGCGACGGCGTCGCGCTGATCATTAGTTCGCGCCAAAATATGCAACGCTCGCGTCGGTGCTGGTTTCTCGCTGAGTTAACCTATTTTTATGATATTTGCATCGGGTCAATCGAGTACGTGCCTGCGCACCGACGTCTTGGTTCATTGGAGTTAATGTATGTGCTGTCGTGAAATTCAGTCATAAAAATTGAGACACCAGTGAACGTCTTATTAACCAAGCAAAAAAGGTAAATACAGCAAATTAAGAGCGATGCCTGTGACTACCCAGTGAACTATCGTTATTATTGTCCGCATGTTGTCATAATATATAGGCTGCTTATACATTGTTGTTTGAGAAGCGAATTTAATTTTCGCTACAAGTGTACGAATATCAAATAGAACGAAGAAAAGGAACAAGTGACAGCTCACCGAAAGAAACCCAGGACACAGCACACACGTGCGTCGCTTTTGTGCATCGAACCTTTGACACCGCGCGAAGAAAAATGGCAGTCGGCGGCGGCGGTTTTCCCGGCGCGTCCCTCCTCACGCAGTTGTTTCGCCAGCTGACGAAGCCGCTGTCCAAGCGACTGGTCGAGTACGCCTCGCAGAGGCCGGTCTTTCGGCGCTACTTCCTGCTGGCGCCGGGCCGGCTCTATCATCGCCTCGAGTGGAGCGCCCGGCTGCTCATGTCGCCCAAAGACGTCGCCAAGCAGATCGTCGCTTTCAAGCTGCCACCCATCAAGGAAGAGGACGCGATCGAGCTCGGTTCCCAGATCATGATAGAGGTATTATGCACAATCTCACTGACACTGAGCGCCGCGATGCGGTTACGTTCAAGCACTGCGCTGTGCAATCGTCACTTCTTTTCATTCAATTATCAACGCGATCGAATTCGACGATGGCGCGCAGGTGGTCATATTTCTGCTACTGGTGCTGCTGATGGTGTTGGACTACGTGCGCTCGCAAATCAAGTCGGCGCGCAAGGAGCAGGCCATACAGGCCGAGATCGACGAGCTGGAGGAGCGCAAGGCATCGATCATGCGGAAGGTCGAGGAGCAGCTCGCCAAGCAGAAGGAGCTGCGCGACGAACTCGCGGCGCTGGAGCGCGAGCGATCGTTCTATCATCACATTGACGAAAGGATGGAGGCTGCTATCGCGAATTTGGATAACCTGTCCGACGGCGGCGGCAGCGGCGCTCGCCTTGACTCGTCCGATGATTCTACTCGGTGGCCGAGTGGCGGACGAGAAGATGAGCGAAATTTGTAAATAATCGTGCTTACGATTTTGTCGGACAAGATTTACTTGATCTCCTCGAGAATTACGCACTGCATTAAACAATTTTTTATCTCTCATCGATCTTTTATTCTTCGTTTCCGGATGAGTAAACGTTGAAAAACACAATGGAATTTTTCATTTTCTCCTTGCGCTCTTTCTCTTCAGGTCTCGCAGTCGTAAATCTCAACGCACGCAATTTTCCGCCAACGGCAGTATTAAAGCTATTTCTAAATTATAAGAGCAGATAATATACGAGATGTAAAGTGATCACCTGGGAACCACTGTACACCCCTAGATTGATCCTTGCAATTATTTTCTTTTTTTAATAATCGTCAATCGGGCCAACTCGCACTCGGGCCAACGATTGACTTTTGAGTTTCGAGCGAAACCTGCCTGTGTATAGACACTCTGTAACACGATAATATTTTATTTGATCGCAAATGCATCCTCGTTACCGATCGAACATATAATTTCCACGCATCGGTCAAAGAGATTCGAACGACGAAAACAATTATTGCCGATAGTTTAAACGCTTTGATGTATTTCAATACTCGTCCGAATTAGAGAAATAAAATAATGATTTTTCGTCCCGTTGAAAATAGCAGCATCGAATCGCGCGTTCTGGTTAAAATGCCCGAAATATCTTCGTAGAGCGAACGAAGCATTGTCCTCCGTGGGCCTCTATAGTACAGCCGCGCGATCTATTTGTAAACATACAAAAATAGCACTATATTTCGTATTTTCGCAGCAAATAGCCCCAGTAAGTAGTAGCTTCGCGCGGAACAAATGAAAAGTACACACACGAGCGCGCGAGAGAGAATAAACGAAGATTGACCTGGCTCGAGTAGTTTTGGCATCGACGTGCCCCGCGGCGACGGCTGCACACTATACACATACATACATAGCACGCGAGTGTCCTGATAATCGACAGAAGCTGGCTAATGTACTGCCAGGTGCAGTATACGATTGTCCAGTTTTATTACGTATATCTGTCCCGCGCGTCGGGTCATTCTTGACGCAGAGTCTCTCTTGTTCTAGGCCCTGCATCGTGCATGCGGTCAATTTCGAGTTGCTAAGTATATAAACGCCTACGATGTCGATGACGATCGTATCTAATTAAGAAGTTTATTTCGTGAATTTTTAACGCGAGTGAGCAACGGGGCACGTCGCGTTAATGCTGAGGGCCGCGTGCTCGATCCGTGTCGTCGTTGTTGCTGAAGCCGTTGATCGTGTTCAACTCTATACACTCTCGTCGAAGCCGAAGCACTTACGAGCCGTGTAAACACGATCTCTCTCTCTATCGCGAAATCTCTTGGCAGCTGCTTGTTTCCTACATAATGGCACTTCACACATACATAACTTATGTATAATGCCAAGTGTGCGTGTGTGTGTATAGAAGGACTCTTATAATGTGTTGCTATCGTTACATCTTTGTTGTATATCGGGCATCGATTCGAGCTTTACGGTAAAAAAGAGCTACTTGAATGAAAAAAAAAAAAACAATTCTTTACGACTGCTAATTTTTCTACATCTATACAGCGTGATACCCGCCGGACTTCATTATACAAAATAGTCATTATATTTTGTAAAAGCTGGAAAAGTCGGCGCCGTGGCCATTAGCTTGAGTGCAGGAGCAGTTCCAAAATGTGCACAGTAGGTCCGCTTACACTTTTACTAATAATTTTGCCGAACGCGACGCTTCCTCTTTCTCTCTCTCTCTCTCTCTCTCTCTCTTTTGCGCTTTTAAAGCCGAAAATATATTTCCAGGCGCGCGATAATCGTGTACATACAACGCAACGGTGTATATGCATATTACACCAAGAGCGCTTTCAAAGGCTAATTTACATATATACACTCCATCGCGGCGCAGTATATAAAGCTGACAAAAAAAAAGCGAGATATAATTATTTACGCGATCGCTGAGCAATAATAGCTCCTTGTGTGTACTCGTTGAGCGAGATTGGACAAAAAATTCGACAGAAATTACCCCGCCAACATAACTGATGGACAGAGATAAAGTGTCGGGGCTTCGTATAGAGATAACGAGATAGGGCGAGAGAGAGGGAGATAAAACGACGTGAGTAGCCCTGCGACACACGTATTATACGATCGATCGACGTAGTGGCTGGTTTTCGTCTCGCTGGCAAGCGTCCATCCTTCCTCTTGCTCCATATAAGCTCGGCCTCTATAATATATCGCGCAGGTCGTGTAATTGCACTCGAGGCCTGCTGCGGTGGTTCAGGCCCGATACACCGTTACACACACCGATCTCTCTCTCTCTCTCTCTCTCTGCGTTATTTGTTCCCTCCCGCGCGCGCTTAACCAGACTTATCGATCCAATCAATGTGTAATTTGTCAATTCATAATGCAATTTATGGCCGCAGCGCACTAGTAGCACTACTAGCCGCGCGCCGACGCGCCCCCCGCTTCTTTTGCAACTTTAAAACCTTCATAATTAATGACGCCGATGGATGCGATCGTGCGACTATATAGAACTTAACGTATTTATAATTTCCATGGTTAACGATCCAAACCAGCAGCGGCCCGGCTATGTGTGTATATTGAGGAACCTCCCGCGAGGAACAGACTCTGCTCCAGTCGCTCTATCTATATGTGTGTGTGGGTGTGCTTTTGCCTGCTTTTACAAATGGCTTTTCCCATGTACGTATACACGCTGATGTATATAGTGTAGGAGCGAGTACTGCACGCGATAGCTGTCCCTTGCGCCTTGCGTGCTCTACGGCTCAACTCAGTCCCTCTTTCTCTCTCTCTCTGGCTCTCTAGCCTCCTTGGAGAGTCCTAAGCTGTTGCTTTTCCATTTACAAATTATTATTTCATACAATCGTACCAACTAAAGCTCATTATTTTACGAATTCATCGTTTTGGTTTCAGCATATAAACAAAAACCGCTGCCAATACATTGGCAAGGAGATTCCTCCAAAAATGTAACTCCTTCCTATTTTTATGGATAAAATGTTAATAAAGTAAGGCACTATTTTCTTTTTAAATAATGAGTTACAGTGCAAAAATTTATCAGAAATCTTGTCTAACAATAAAGAATAATATATGAAAAATTTGTCCGGGATGGGAAACCGAACGGGAAGACGTTTCAGAGACACGAATGACGAGCAATACTCATCGGTGTTTATTGCCGCAACGGATGGAGCAAACAGATTCTCGGCACTAAACTTTGCTCAAAGCATTTATCAAGAATAAAAAAATTCATCGAAGCACGTTGTTTAGCTGGATGCAGGATAGAGTACGCTAAATGGGAGCAGTAGTAGATGCTAGCTCGTGCCACCTCAGAGTGACAATTGACTGAAAAACAGTATGAGTCTAAAAGAGTAATGTTTTGTTTTGCCAAATTTGTACAATATTTTTAGTTTAAGTAACAAAATCAGTTCTTTGTTACGGTTACTAAAAATGTTGATCTTAGTGGACGACACTAAAATGTTTTTTTTTTATCAGCTAAGAGTTTTTTAGTACAAACAATGTTTTTTTTCTGTGCAGCCCTTTTCTAAACGTGATAGATGTCTGAAAGTTTGCTCCCAAAAAGGAAAAATTATATTTTCCACAATTTTTCAAGTAATATTATAGTTTAAGTCTTCTCTGAGACGTTGGTCGGAAATCATAAGTTACCGCTAGATGGCGCACACCCGAATTCCAAAAAGTCAAAAGTGAAATAGCTTGTGGAACATATAAAAACTAACAAAATCAAGACGATTATTGTAGAAAGTCCAGTCGCTTTATCTGCCAGTAAATATAATTTTTCCTGATTGGTAAAGGTCACGTGTCGCGCGCTTGTGCACACGCCAACCCGCCTATCATAAGCATACATGCCCCAGACTATGAAAAGTTATCGCACTCGGGGCTTGTTGATATTTCTCGCTGTTGCTGCTGCTGCTGCTGCTGAGTGCACGCATACACGCAAGCGTTTAACGGAGTGTCCGAGTCTACGTACGCCAGCGGACGCAACGCCAACTCAAATAAAGCTGGACAATTTGCATTTATTTTACTCAACCAATATAATATTATAAAAGCTCGCGAGTCCACGTACACACGCACACACTCTGAGCAGCTGTACAGCAAAAGAGAATAACGAGAGACGCGGCGCAGTTTACAGCAGTTGGCGCACACATATACCTATATGCGAATATGTGTAGAATATATGTATAGGCAGTAACGCGTAGTTAACCCGTGAGTTTTAATTAGCAAACATTAAAGCTTTCGAACGACGCCTTTATTCATGCCCCCGCGCGTCTCTCCTCCTCCTCCACAGCAGCAGCAGCAGCAGCAACGCAAGCTGCTCGCGGCGCTCCGCCAGCAGCGTTGAGTTGCGGAGCTCTCTCTCTCACAAGTATATACGTACACCATTAATAAACCTTACAGTTTCGCTCTTTTGTCAGCTGCTACTGCTGCCATTGCTACACTGCTAATTACTACTGCTCCCGACCATTGCTGGCACTGTAGTTTATGTGCGTATGTATATGAGCGAGATAAATCGCCCGCGCGTACATTTCGGAGTCGAATCGGAGCGTCGATTGATTATATCGCCCGAGAATTCGGCACGTGCCACGACGCGCGCGCGTTATTATATGCATACCTTCGCAGCAACCCGAATCAACGCACGGCCGCTGCACGCTCGACTGGCGAAATGTCTTTCAGCAACGGCTCTCGCGCGATGTTTACGTATATAGCACGTAGACCTTGTATATATGCGAGTGAGGATAGAGGCAAGCAGTAGTTGTAGTAGTAGCAGTAGTAAACTATATAGCTGCAAAACGAAAGTTTTGCCTGCTGCGGAACTTTGGCCGCGTGGATACAGCGAAATAGCTTGATGGCAAAGTTGGCCTCTGTGTGAGAGAGAGAGAGGAAGCTTGCGCATGGACAGCATATATAATGATTTATATGTTGCGCGGTAAAGTGCGTCATCGCTGCTCCTCGTCGTCGTCGTCGCCGCCATCAAATGTATAGCGAAACAGACGCGCGCGGGCTTATATGCCAAAGAAAGAGCATACGATCAAGATGCGACGAACGTGTTTATGTGATGCATTCCGTTGTGCGTTCGCTCCGTGATCCTTCTCTCTGCGA